GTGTAGGGCTGATAGGCATGTACCACCACATCCAGTCTTGGTGGCTGGCTTCGTGCGCCCAGGGGCAGGTCTGGCGCGGCATGTGGTGCTGGGATCAAGCCCTCGCCCCTGCTCTTGCCAAAACAGACACTTCGTCCACTGAGCTATCTCACCAGCCCTGGGCTTACCGTTTTTGCTAGTGTAAATCTTAGAATGGAATTACACTGTCGTACATTTTATCTCCCTTTTTTCTTTGACCATAAAGATGCATACACAATGAAGGAAATGACTCTACATGAGAGGAGAGGTTCCCCTCTTTTTGCCCTGCATCTGAGGTACCTTCAGTGTCATGACTAACACTGTTAGTCTTCCCCAACAGCTTAATTTCTGCATAATAAAACTATGGTTCCTGATGATTCTTCTTCAGGTAACCGTCTGGGATAGCAGAGGTTCGTGCTCAGAATCAGTGTTCAGATTCCACTAGGTCAACAAGTCAGCAGCACAAAACAAAGCCAAAGAGGAAGCTAACACTGCTAGCATAAGTGTCAGAGATATTCTTGCAGTGAGAGAACTCTGAAAATTTATTTGGCTTTAAAGGTGTGCATTTTATAAATTCTTCTATTAATGTGTTCATTCTAAGATACATCACATTTTTTTCTTTGTCTTCTATTAACCAGTGTTTTAATTCCAGGTAGTCTCACAAATGAGTGAAGGTTTATGCTACTACAATAAAAGGCTAATTTGGCATCTGTAAACGTCTATTTTCTTTTTCTTTTTTTTTTTAAAGGAACCGGGGATTGAACTCAGGCCCTTGCGCTTGCCAGGGAAGCACTTATTCCACTGAGCCACCTCCCTGGCCCCTCAGATTTTCTTTTTTTGTTTTGTAAATGTGTATTTTCTAGTAAGTTTGCCTGGAAAAAAAATCTGATTTAGTCACACTGCAAAAGAATGGAAACATATCAGCACATTTTTGTTAGGTAATACCAAAAGTAGAAATTAGAATACTTTAGTGCAGCGGATAAAAGCGCCTGCAAGCAGGTGCAGGGACTGGGGTTCGATACCTGGGCCTGCTGTGTTGGCCCCGTGCCCAGGGCACACTGAGACTGCAACTGAGACTGGGCGTGGTGGCACACGCCTATAATCCCAGCGCTTGGGAGGCTGTAAACAGGAGGATCACTATGAGTCCTATCTACACAGTGAGATGCTGTAGACTCTGTCCTAAATACAGAAAAAAAAGTTTCAATCTTCCAAACCTACTTTTAAGCCTAGCAAGTACATTGTCACTGTACCTGTAAGTTAATCACCTCAGGTAAGTGAACAAAATATACATCCTTCTTGGGATGTTTTGGCACCTGTGCCTTGTAAAAGAAGTGTGCAAATGCTTCACCAAATGTGGCTTTCTAGATTTAAGTGTATTAGTTCAAACTTATGATCTGGCACGAAAGCTCTCTTGAAAGAATTGTCTATTACTTGAAAGTCTTCAATATAGCTATTAAAAGTCAAAGTGATTTTAAACATAGAAAGGAATACTCAAATGATACATAATTATCAGTAATTTTTCTTAATTAGCTTTCCGGAGAATATCCCTTTGGGGGAACATTTTATAACGAACTAGAATTTCCAGGACAATTTTCTTTTAAAGCTCTTACTTTATATATTAGTTTCCAACATCTCAAATATGGGGCAGGGAGACAGCTCAGTAGAATACGTGCTTGCTTGGCAAGCTTAAGGTCCTAAATTCAATCCCTGGTACAGAAAAAAGAAAAGCAAACAACATCTCAAATGTGGAAGAGCCCCACGAACATCTGTATACCCATTTATTTAACTCATAAAAATTTAATCAGAATATCCAGGTACAAACTTTCCCCAATTTATGGCTTTTCAAAAGTGTAAAAATGTACCTATATAACATTGTTTTGGGCCAGCCAGCTAGCTCAGTGGACTAACGCGCCTGCTTAGGAGCAGCGTGGCGGCCCAGGTTTGGTTCCTGGCCTGGCGTGCTGGCCCTGCCCCCAGGCTGCTCTGAGAAGGGAACTGAGACCAGGCATGGTGGCATGTGCCTGTAAGCCCAGCGCTTGTAAGACTGAAAACAGGAGGATCACTGAGTCCGATCTAGGTAGTGAGACCCTGTACTAAGTACATAAATAATAATAATAAAAATAATAATACTATTTTTCACCTCCAGTACAAATTACATGATCTTCAATATTTTATTACAAAATAGGCTTGTATAACCTAGGGCAAATATTGAGTATGTCTAAGGTGACGAGGCTATGATGTTGGGAAGTTTAGGTGTATTTGTATATCATGTGCATTTTTTACTGTTAATATTTTCATTTTATGATGAAGGGGAGAGGGACTGAACCAGGACCTGCATGCTGAGCTACATCCCCAGCCCTTTCTTGGTTGGGAGAGGATCCTCTGAAGTCATTAAGTTTCCCATGCAGCGCTTGAACTTGTGTCCGTCTGAGCCACCTGAAATGGTGAGATCACAGGCACGTGCCCCTGTGCCTGACTCAAGAATTCTTGACTTCAGTATTAAAAAATGATCTTTCCAACCCTAGGCTTCACATTGCTTACACCCATCTATTCTCTTCCCTCAGTAGAAATCTTGCTTTTAAGCATAATACACTCTAACCATTAATTCCTCCATTTCTAGTTCACTCCTTTTAGATCCTTAAGAACATACTTATAATCCAGTAACTAGGCCATACTTTCAACTCTCTCTTCCCTTCTCTTGTGTCTTCTTTAAATATGGTATCACTATAAATATGATCACTAATCTAAAGGTATCTTCCCTGCTCCAGGCATCAAACTTTCCCAGGAGCATACACTCCCGTTCTTCTAACCTAGTGCATTCTACCTCCTGGCTGCTGCAACATTTCACTTTGAAATCTATAGCTGACCTCCTATTTTAGATCCCTGCTCCCAACCACCTACCCACTCCATGTAGCATCTTCCCAGCTCAGGCCCATACCGCATGTTCCGCAGCCCTTCACAGTTATCTTTGCATCAAAATCCTGAATGTCCAGCAGATCCTGCTGATTCTTACCTACTGCTTTCCCTCCTCTTCAGACATCACCCTCACCCAGGCCACCATTCTCTTTCAGGTGGATTACTGCAACAGTCTCCTTCCTTCCCGATTCTGCCTCTCATCCCTGCCTATTCAACACAAGAGCCATTAGGTCTCCTGTTAAAGGAATGTCCTTGGGCTGCAGGATCTGGGGTTTCATTTTGTTTTTTAATAAAACATTCATAAACTTAAAAAAGGCTGTCAGACTAGTCTATTGAACAACCATTTTAGCTTGTATTCTGCATTACTTTTGATGACTCTTGACAAGTGACATGCAAATTTTTAAAATATTTGCATATATCTTCAAGCATGTATTCAAGTTATCAAACCAAGCCAAAGGAATTCCCCTTTTTGGAATGGAATATAAACTTATAATAGCCCAACCGACACAACTAATCCAGACATATCCAATATTTAGTTCAGAATCATTTCAAACCTTTAAATAAGTCTCTTAAAAAGTGAACAGATAATTCACGCATCAATTCATTTTCCTTAAAAATCTCAACACAGAACTTGTAAAACTAAAGAGAAAAATGACTTAGCCAACAATGTCATAATTTCAGATTATATTCTCAATGGTTTCAAAGCCCAACAGTGATTTTTAAGAAGAAATTAAACATGCTTTCATTGAATTTTTAGAGTTTTATACAGTTCAAGCTAATGAAATATTTTATTTTTCTTAATAAAAGTGTTTAAAAAAATTTTCCAGGGCCAGATGTCTGGAGTATGTGATGAATGGATTTCACTCAAGGATAAGAAACAAAATTCTATTGAATAAAACCATAAATCCACCCAACTCCTGATAGTAAATACTAGCATTAACCACAGGCTTGAAATTCCTGTAGTATCAGTATATTTTTAAAATATTACAGACATGCTTTTGATGCACAGGAAGATGGAAAAGACTTAAGACTCTGACTACACACCATATGTTCTCCCAGCTTTCTTAATTTACAGCCAGTTAAGAATCACAATATCCAAAGGAAGTATTTTAAAATAGTGTATGACTCACTGTTAAGTGATCTTTCTACTCAAGTAAATAGGAAAGTTCGCATTTTAATGTCACACTGATTTTCAGTACATGTCAATCCAAGGAAAAAATAAACTGAGACATGGTCATGAGTGCAAGATTACACATATTACAATTTGCCTTGTTATACTGTATTTGTGGCTTTACGACAAAAATAACTCAGGAACATATGGAATTCAAGCTAATTTGTGTAACTGTCACAAGAAAAAGCATTAAATGCATTTATGCGATAAGTACTTTCATTTAATTTCAGAATCTCAAAACAGACCTTGACCTTGTTTAAAAAAAAATTTAGTTCAACATTAAGCTAGCTATATAACCTTACTGAAAGGTTGAAACACGACTGATATAGAAAATGTTTTCTAATCTCAATCTTACATAAGTGGAAGAGGTGAGGGGGAAAAGGTAGACAATTTCTTTAGCAGCGTATATGGCTAAGTCCATCAACCACCTTAAACTAGAATGTCTATTATTGACCCCTTTAAAAAAAACTGGGCTAATATCAAAAGTTACCCATTTCATAAGCTGAGAGACAACAATTTTAGGGTTATACTAAGTAAAATATTTTTGTAATACTTCAAACATTTTAACCATGAACTAGAGGAATCAGCTCTTCATTGTAACAAAGAAAAAAATAACAGAAAGTAAGACATTTGAACTATTCATTTTTTTCAATCCTCTTCAAACAAAAGTAAAGAATGGTTGATTAGCTAAGCTTTGTGCTCTAAATAAACTAATTACACTGATTTTACATGGCAATAGCCCGTCTGACTGGGCAGCTTGACAGTTCTGAACACTTTTGCAATAATTTTTT